AAATATATAAAATAAATATCAAAAATAGAAATCTTTGTTTTACTACGGTTGCAAATATCAAAAAATTTCTATATGTGACACAGCACCAGATTTAAGTTAGGGTTTTTCAAAATGCTGACTCGCCGAGCTCAAAAGGTTCGCCATCACTGTCCTAGATGCATATGACAGCAAGTGAGCTGCCTCCTCCAAAGAAAACTCAATTTTCAGTTAGAAATAGTGCCAACTCTGCCTGTCTTTTCTCAGTGGTACCACAATCCATGTAGTTTTGTGCAGTTTTTAATTGTGTGAGTTTTTCAATCTTTGAACAATTATACTCTAAAAAGGATTTTGAAATCTTTCTAATCCCTCCTTTACCACCCTTCCTGCTTCAGTAATCACATTTTCTGAATGCCTTCCTTGGCCAACTGGACTACCATAAGTTTCCACTTTAACCTTCAGTCTTTGTTAACTGCTGTTTACACACGCAAAAAATTTTAATCAAATGTGGTCACCGTACAGTAAAACCAAAAATACCTGTGCAATTTCACATTCTAAGGGGGCTATTTCATTGATATCCTTCCACCAAACAAATATATTTATGCAAGCAATAGTACATCTGTTTACCATATAGCATATTTAACACCCACTGCATCATTCATTGTATCAGTAAGTTAGATTGCCAGGGTTTCTATGAGAATTCATCTGGAGAATTAGAGACTTGTCACTTCTCTAGATATATTTTTATGAATAGCTTAGCCTCTTCTATTCGCTCTCAACTGCATATGAGAGATTTATCTTAAGGATCCTGGGGCTGCTTTTTAAAATAGGTATTATTCTCTTTAATATTAACAGGCATGGTAATAAGCCAACTTCACCCTTTCGGCCACCATAAAGCAGGACCAGAACAAAAGAACTAGATTGTTCTTTTTCTTTCTTTCTTCACTCATGCGGTATTTATTCAATGCTCAGTACCCCAGGGGCTGGGTTAGATTTTGGGTGTGAAATATAAATTACACCTTGTGCTTGCCTGAAGTCTAACGTGTTTTGTTGTAACAAGCATATCTTGTTATAGTAGGGCATGCATAACGTGCTGTAGAATGTAGAACAAAGGTACTGCACAATTATTTTTGTGAATCCCTTGATAGAGACTTAAAAACACAAAAAACAACAAAAAAGGGCAAATTTCTGGAAAATATTTGTAATCTTTTTTCTTGTTTATTACTTTCACCTTCAATAAGCTGCTTTTCTTCTCCTCAAAGCAAATACATATTGATGCAGATATGTTCCTGCAGGGGGAGACAGAATTCATCTTTCAGGGCAGCAGGAGTAAATGTCTTTATCTCTAAAGTATATCTGGAGGCTGAATTCTCCTTATTCACTTCTGGTTGGGGGATTCTGAAAAGCCCCCTTCCCATCAACCAGTCCTAAGTGACAATTTAGGAACCCTCTTCTCCACTTCTGCTCCCTCCTCCTCTTTTATTAGTTCTTCTTTAACATCCAGTTAGGACCTATTGCATGCCATTGCTTTTCCAGATGCTTTTAAGGGTCTTTGTTGTACTCCAACTCCTCCTAAAACTCTCTTTTGTCCTGATGAGCATTCTGAGAACCAGAAGAAGTGTATCTTTGAGCAAATAAGTGACTAAATGTTGTTGTCCATTTAAGTGAGGTCTCAGCTCTGTGCTCCAGCTGAACTTTTTCAATCCTGAGAGTCACACATGTCTCCTCAGCAGAAAACTCATTCAATTAGAGGAGTAGCATGGGGAGCTGTAAGGAAAGAGTCTTTTCCAAGATGTTCAGAAAGATAGGAACCAGACCATTGGAATTATCCTATATAATAAAAGCCTAATATGCTAAGTGTCTGGTCATCCATTCAACCAATCAAAGCATAGTATGCTAATGATATGCTAAGGCCACTCAACCACTCGCTATGACGTGCACTGACTACCAGGGAGCAGACGCTCCGACCAGTAGGTTAGCTTGCTGCTGGGGTCCAGTCAATCAGGACTGAGCGAGATGGGCCAGACATGCCCTGGAGCCCTCCCACAGTCTCTCCCCAGCTGGCCAACCTCCAGCGTCCCTCCCCTGCCCCTATTGTGCACCAGTGAGGTCCCTCAGCCTGGCCTGTGCCCTCTTGCAATCCAGGACCCCTCAGGGGATGTTGGAGAGCTGGTTTCAGCCCAATACCACAGGCCAGACCAAGGGACCCCACAGGTTCATGAATTCATGCACTGGGACTCTAGTTTCTTATAAAAAGGATTGACAGTTTGATCACCAACACCTGGGTTTTCTTTGAATTCTCCCATAGCTACAATCTAACAAAACCACCTGGTAACACCAGCCTGAACAGGGGAATTTGAGATGCACTTTCCCTTAACCTAAATGATTGGATGCATTTAGTCTTCAGTTCTCCTAAAGCTCACAAATTGACCCAATAAATAAAGAGGGCCCCTTTTTCCTGCAGATGCAAAAGTGATTAATGGAAAAAGTTGAAACCAAACTCAAAACTTTCAGAATATTTTGAGCACAACTGAATGCTATTTCATGTGTCTCATGCAGTTTGAAAATGTTTTCTCTAAAAGAAACAATGTGTAATTGAATTACTTCCATACACTGTTCTTTAGTTGTTCTTAACATCTCCTCCTATTCCCTCACCCGCACACTTGTTAAGCCATCTAGTTTTTAGATATTGGTTGTCCATGGTTTTATCATGCTTTCATAATTCCATATAGTTTAACCTCCTACAAAGAATAAAAATGCAAATACACACATATACAAACACTTCGTAAAAATAGGGCTGCTGTTTATGCTTTCTTCAGGACATTCTATACACGTATCTGTTTAATAGGGAAAGGCACACATTCCATTTTGAGGTGTCATTTATTTGAAACCATCATATAAGGTTTTAATATTTTACCCTTTTGCTATTTAAGTAAATGTTCTCTTATTTTGCACTAAGGTACTCTGAGAAAGAACAAAAAAGCACATTTTTTAGTGAAATATTGTACTTTGTAAGCTAGTTGTCTGTCTTTTATAGCATAGAAAGTCCATGAAGTGGTTGAGCAGACATGAGCAAGAATTAAGACAACAGTTGTTTTGATGTTCTGAGCACAGCTGCTGGGAACATGTTGAGGAGGAATGTGTGGCAAAATTTGGTAGCTGTCCCAGGTGAAGAGGGCCACTGAATCCACCATGGAATAGTGGCATCAGCTCTTCCCATTCTCCTGGCTCCCAACTCAGGAGCCTCTTTAGTACGTTCTGATCATTGGCTCAAACATTAGGGAAAGAGGCAACATCCTGGGCTTTACATGAATAATTCTTTACTGCACTTTGCCTAATATTGTTGACAGTTCCCAGCCCTACTCTAACCACATCTCTTTTTTCATGATTTTAATTTCATCAGGATTTCTCCAGAAAATTTAGAGCTATCACCATATAATCGAATGTGCCTAGGTTGAGTACCTAGATACAACTTTAAAGAAATGAAATGATCAGAAAAATCCTAATTCACTCTCCGATCAAATGTGCCTAGGTTGAGTACCTAGAAATGAAATGATCAGAAAAATCCTAATTCACTCTCCTGATCTATCCTAATTGGAAACCCCATTGATGGAATCCCTGAAGTCCTGAAATCCATGGGCATATCATAATGACAAAAAAAAAGTAGGCCCGCTCCATTCCTGAAAGTCAGGGACCCACCATCTAACATTACCTGAGAATACTGTTTTCTTCAATCCTCCCTGGTGACACAGGAAAACTCTTACAAATAATAGTAAAAAATTAGGAGAGTAGTCCCAAGCCATGAACAAAAGTGAAGCTAATTGTTTTAGGGATTAAATTTTCTCTTATTTTGATTAGCATCATATTCTTCCCTGTCTCAGATGCCAGAATAATCTCAGAGCACATGTAAGGGTACTGTGTATGCAAAAGAAGCATCGCAGTGCCCTGGAGAATCTCTGGAAGACCCATAAAATAAACATTCAGTGAAACTTTAAGGGATAATATTAATAGACATATACCTAGACATAGATTTCCATTATGGCCAACCCCATCCCAAAAGCTTCACAGGAAATATTAACATACTTTCTTCTCTTTGAATGGCAGTGTCATCTGTATAACCCTATTCTGTCTAAATACACAGAAATATCAAACCTTGCTTAAATGGCATAGTTATATTGTGTGAGGGACTTTGTGTTTAGTGAGGTCCAAACAAGCACTTTCCTTCTGAATCTGGATGTTTCCTGGCTTCCTGGTGACCTGTGCTATCCCAGGCTGTCACTTCCATCAGTCAACTGGAAGAAGCAAAAGGTCTCTGGGAGCAAGAGTGCTGGCTGAGAGGGAGCTGAGGCTCAGCCTCCATGAATGATGGGTAAGCAGTCAGTTAAGATTTTTCTGTAGAAACAGAGAGTCTATATTTTAGGATTTGTAGACAGACTCTGTTGCAACAGCTCACCTCTGCTGTTGTGCAGGAAGGCGGCCATGCATAGGCAAACGGGCATGGCTGTGTTCCAGTGAAACTTTATTTATGAAAAGTAGGCAAGAGGTCAGATTTCATCCACAGGCTGTGATTTGCTGGTCTCTTTGACAGAGCATTGAAGCGTCCATTTCAGATGGGAGATCCATGTCACACTGGCCTGAAGTCCTTTCTGAGGAATGAGAAAGAATAGGGGGATTAATGTTAACAATTAAACAATAAACTGCAAAACAACTTCCTGCAAAAAATATATATGTCATACTCAATTTATGGCAAAAGCAGACCACAGGTCATCTCTCTTCGTAGATCTGTCGGAGACTAGCTTTTCCTCTTGACCTCCTTATTTTTCTTTTCAAAACAGAATCCCAAGTGATGTTGCCTCTTTCCACCAGTTTTGTAACCCATGTAACATGTCTTAATACACTGTATGGGGAAAATAAAAGTTAGCCTTAGATTTCTTTGTTTTCTATGGTTATTGTTGTACAGAAGAAAGATTTAAACTGTAAATAATGTATATTTAATAAAGAGAAAATTTTGTATGATTTTGTGTGGAAGAAAAAAAAAATGTGCCTTTCTGTGTTTCCTTGAGTTAATGAAGAATCAAACAATTCCTCCCTTAGCTCCCATTCTCCTTCCTCAGACTGTTCACTCCCAGACAACATGGCCTGTGGGGCTGCTGGAGAAACATGGATCTCCGGCTCCCTGGTTTATTGATTTCAGCAGAACTGTAAGTGCTGTCATGAGCTTTCTTATTGCTCAGCTAAATTACACCGGCCTGCATGCCTGGCTCAAATGTGTGAAAAAGCAAGTTTATTGACTTGATAAAAAGTCATATTCAGGGCTCTGAAGCCTTCCCGTTTTAGCTGTCCGCATAAAACCCAGAGCCTCTTCGTTACCCTCATGAGCGCCCACTCATCACAGCCGCATTTCTTATCTCACCTCCTCCTCCTCCTCTCACAGAGTCTTAACCCAACTGGGGTGTGATGTGTTTGAGATATTAAGGAAGCATTAGCGTGAAACAGAACTCGCTCCATATGGTGTTAAGACTTCTGTGTAGGGGGTAGTCAGCACACAGAAATTAAAAACTAACAAGGGTTTTAAACAAAAAAGTGACACTATCAGTTTTACCTGCTAAAAAAGAGCTGCTAAATGGAAAATGGGCCATAGGAAAATGAAGGGAGGATAGAGATTTGTCAGACTGAGGGTGGTGGTAATGGCTTGGATGAGGGCTGTGGTATCAGAAATTGTAACAGTACCTGGGTCCAGACAGAACCGAGAAGGCTTGCTGACAGACGGGGAGAAGAGTGTGAGGGGTATAAAAGGATCAAGAATAGAAATTTTTTGACTAAAGCAACTGAATGAAAGCAAATAGATCATTTTTGTTTTGAGAAATAGTGCCTTCAAAGTGAGAAGGGCAGATAATAATTTCAATTTGAGGTTTTTGTTCAGTTTGAGATTTCAACGAGGCAACAAGTGTAGATGTGGAGCAGGTGTCTGGCAGATGCCTGCAGTTGAGGAGTGCTGTTTGATCTGGAGAGACACTTGAGAACATATGTACATGTATATGTGCATACATGCATGGGTATATATGCTTTACGTATGCATATACATGTGTGAGGGAGAGAGAATGGGAGAGGGAAAGGGACTGAAAGCACTTTGAACACATGTGAGCTGTGGCTGAACAGTCTTTACAGCAGCACAGCCAGGTTTCTGAAAACCAAGCCTGGGAAGTGAAATCCACCCTTGAGCGGGGGCAGGAGCATTAGTGACAGAGCTGGCTGGTGGGCAGGGGAGCGCGCCTCAGCTGAGCCCTCGAAGGGCTCCCACTGTGTGAATGGCCCTTACAGAACCACAGCCTGCTTAGAGCATCCTCTCACCGACAGGAAGAGAAGTGCCGTCCCTGGGGAGGGCAGGAGGATGCTCCTGAAAGGGCAGGTGTGGCAACTCTCACTTCGCTGACACTTTAGTTTGTAGAATGTGACAGCTTGTCCTGTTCTCCAGGGTCCTTTGTTGTGTGGGAAGCTCTCATTTAAGAGATAACAGTTTTCTGAAGAGAGTAGGCCTGTGTCCAATATTCTCAGACAATAATAATGGAATAATAATATAATTACCAATGGCTGTGGACCTACGGTATGTCAAATGCTTTATACATGTTGTCGCTTAAGGTCACAATACAACTATCAAAGCCCAGCCAGTGTGGCTCAGTGGTTGAGTGTTGGCCCATGAACCATGAGGTCATGGTTCTATTCTTGGCCAGGGGGCACATGCACAGGTTGTGAAATTGAACCCAGTAGAGGGTATACAGGAGGCAGATGATCAATGTTTCTCTCTCATCAATGTTTCTATTTCTCCCTCTCCCTTCCTCTCTTTAAAATCTATATATCTATATCTATATCTATCTATATCTCTACATATATATACTAGAGAGGTATTGGCATCTTTTTTTAATTTTTAGGTAGAGTTTTTGCATGAGAAAATTACTTTGCTGAGAGAATTGCATAATCTTCTATGTCACTTACACTTGTATTTAATGTCCACTTTGTAACTTTAGGCAAGGCTCTTACCCTATCTATGACTCAGTTCGTTTGTAAAAAATAGGACTATTCACACCAATTTCCCAGTAAAAAATTCAACCTGTTTCAGCCTTAACCTATACCCAGCTCTACCTAGGTGCTGCTAGAATTAATTCAAATAAATTCTGGCCATGATGCAATTTTTGCTATCCCTGATTTCTACTACTCAATGAAATGAGAACAAAAACTCCAGCTACAAAGGTAAACAGGTGATAAAAAAAGAGCTGTTAAAGGCCACAAATACCAAAATAAGGCTTTCTCAAGCTCTAACCAGATACTCTGAACCAACATTAAAACTGAGATGCCAGTAGAGTGTGACTCGGGACTGTAGGAGACACTTTCTGTTGCAGAAAAACCTCTGTAATATGACTACTCTCAAGGCCAAGCCTTGCTAATGGGGGAGTGTAGCTAATATTTCCTTGGTAGATGCCCAAAGAGGCAGAGTCTCTCCTTGAAGGAAAGAACATTATTCAATGCTCACTTAAAACTCAGACTGATAGGAAATGTTTTTAACACATAAATGTACGCCCAGGTAAAAGGCAAGTGCTCCCTTCCACTGAGCAGGGGGAGCCCTCACAGCCTGGCCCCATCTCGGAGAGTGGTTGTGCGCTATGCAGTGCCGTACTCCGGTTCCTGTGGATCTTCCCTCCGGTGAGCTTATTAAGGAAGCTTTACGATGCGACATTAATTGGTAGCCTGCAGTGTGCTAGACACTGAACCTCCCATGGAAGCTTTTGCTATTTAAAGTTTCAAAGGCAAGCAAACTTGCAAATCAAACTACCAGAAATCAAATAGACAGGGATCGACTTACTGTGTGTGCATATATAGGTTCTTTTCAGACAGGATATTTTATCCTGTATGAAAAGACATCTTTTAACTTGTCATCCTTTAAGATTTGTAAGATAACTTTATAGCAAATGAGCATCCTGGACGACTGTCTGGACGAAGCTGGGGCTGCGAGGGAAGCCCAGGTCCCGGTGCCAGAGGGAAGCCCGTGCAGGCAGCCGGGGGAAGGAAGGCCTACTCTTGCACAAATTTTGTGCATCGGGCTTCTAGTAATTCCTATATTATCCAAGAGTAACTATTAATTTTCTCATTTATTCATTCAACAAACATTAGTCAGCGCTTTTGATGTATATTCTGACTGAGGTGTTGTGAATGATCACATAAGAAGACATAGCATCTGCTGGCAAAGGGCCTGCAGTCCAAGAGGGAAGGCCATCAGGTAAATGACAAGCCTATCAGGTATTATAGAGAATGGAGCTGAGTTCTAATTAGCCCAAACAAGCAGAGAGCAGGCACTTGAATACTAACTAGTAAAAGAAGTGGTGTTTCTGTCCTGTCTCCAAGGTCTAGAGAATGATGAGAAGTTGGTTAAAAGTGGCAATTAAGATAAAAGAAACAGCATTTGAAAGAAGGCACAGAGACAAGAATGAGGGTACCAGTTCAGGAAACTGTACACAGCCTAATAGGACTTAGAATGACATTAAGAAGTTGTTATTAAAAAATGACAGGCAGCATAGAAAAAATGTAAGAATGACCTTTTATATCAGAGTTTCCACATGGGATAAGACAAGCAAAGATGACAAATAGGGGACATGTTAAACGTGAAATGGAATGATATTTGAGTCACATCATGTCCAAGCAAGCATTACCTGGGATTTGATGTCAGACTATTTCTATTCTGCCCCAATCTTCTCCTTCCTGTGGATAATAAGAGCAGTTGAATCACTCTTTTGAACTTTGGGTGTCTAATTTTAGCATGAGTTTGAAAATATTTACTTTGTGAAGTTCTAATGAGTAATTAATAAAATAAAATATGAAATATCTTTTAAACTATACATAAATAAAGGAAATATGTGTTAGTATTAACACACTTGCAAGCCAGGAGAGGAAGAAAATATTTATCAATTACAGCAGGGCTGGGCAGTAAATATTTCAGGCTTTGAGGGCCAGTCTCTGTTTCAATTTCTCAATGTTGCCCTTGTAGTGTGAAAGCAGCCATGGGCAGGGTGGAAGCAAATGAGCCTGCTGTGTTCCAGTAGAACTTCTCATATGGAAACTGAAATTTAACTTTCATATAACGTTCACATGTCATAAAGTATTAGTCTTCTTTTGATTTTTTTCCAATAAGTTAAAAATCTTAAAAGAATCGTGTGAAGCTTGCAAGTAGCACAAAAACAGGCAGCTGGTCAGACATGACTCACAGGCTAGGGTTACTAACCCCTTAATTAGATAAACAGTTATTGAATTTGAAGTCTGGCCTCTTTCTTTTTTGGAAAACGATACCATTAAAATGTGGTGATAATAGAAAATAAGGCTAACAATGCTGAGCACACCCTGAGAAGGGTGGGATTCAAGAGATCTGGCCCTGGCTGGGTAGCCCCGTTGGTTGGAGCATCGTCCTGATTTACTAGCATTGTAGGTTCGATCCCAAGTCAGGGCACATAGAAGAATCAGCCAATGAACGCATCAATAAGTTAACAACAAATCTTTCTCTCTCTCTCTCTCTCTCTCTCTCTCTCTCTCTCTCCCGCGCTTCCATGCCTCCTTGCCCCCCCGCCCCATCTCTTTCTAAAACCACATCAATAAAAAGACATGGAGACCGCACTGGAAGGACGGAAAGCCTAGGGGCCCCTTGGGCACAGCTTTGACAGATATGAGCTGGATGACCTCACAGTCCTGCTCACCACACCATGAAAATAAAATACAAAAGAGGCAGTGTATATAAGCATGCTTGTTATCCAGAAAGCAGATATAAATATGAGTTATGCCAGAGATAAACTCTCTTTTGTTGTAATCTTGCTTGTTTTGTGTGGGGGACCCAAAGGAAGTTAGAATCTTTAGCAGAAGCCACTGGGTATGACTATATCAGACATTTAATAGAGTGATCAAGTTAATTAAGTTGAGTCACTTTAAAGAAAAGTAAACATTATTGTGGAAGGACATTTTGTTTCTCAGAATAGTTGGTGATAATATATAGGAAGATCAGGAGGACAATTCTAAGCTGCCCCCCTGTGTGTTGAGCATGGGTAATGGGTATGTAAAAAGGTATTGGTCCCTAAGCCCTTACTGGGGGCTGGCAGGCATTCGGGGGGTGCAACACTCAAGCTGATGAACTTGTGCCCTTGAAATGATGGCCAGCTTAGAAGAGACACAGCATGAACAGTGTCATCCCTGATCTTCATTTTGGTATTGGAGTGGACAATACAAACAAAGTAGCTAAGCAGAAAGTGAAAAGAAAGGCTATTCACAGCAAAGTTAGGAAGGCTTACACATTGTCTAGCAAGACAATGATAAGCAAAGGAAATAAAAAAGACAAATTAAAATTTACAGAAGACAGTTGCTCAAAAAGCTTTGTGTTCTTCTCAGAAGAAAAAAACAAAAAACAAAACTGCCCTTTACAAAAAGCTATACATATTCTGAGAGTTTATATGACTTATTCACTTCTCACTTTTATCAAAGCTGGATATAAGTTTTGGAGTTGAATAACTGTCAAGGTCAAGTCTAAATGCTGAAAGGTAAAGAAGAACCAGCAGCAATGTCACAGTTAAACCGGAAGAATGGAACGCAGCCTTGCTGGCATTCAATGGGCTTGGCCATGGTTCCTGGCATTGACCCTGTCTGTCCTCAAGAGGGCAAGGGCAGCATTCTGAAAAGTTATGGGCCAGGCAGGAAAGAAAAGAAAAATCCCAGAGAGCCATCAGATAAGCCATCTGGGGCAACCTAAAACAGCATTAGATGCTGTGGTATTTCACACATGATTCTGAGAAGAACAAATCTTTCTAGATCAATTCAATTTATTTCAACCAAAAGGCATGTGGAAACAATATCAGCCATCTATTTTTAAGAAGACTTTAATTCTATCTCAAAAGTCATTTTTCTTAATAAGTGACGAAAACTTTAGTATATTTGGCACAAAATAACTAACTTTAAGAGTGATTCTTTATTAGTCTCAACTAGAACATAAATATTATTTAGCAATAATTAATCCTAGAGTATATTTCACAACTTAAGATATTTTTTAAAAAATTCAGAGTGCACTTATCAAATATGTAGATAACTTCACTAGCAGAACTATTACTATACAAGAAATAAATATATTTCAAGGTGATATTACACACTGGCCAAAGTAAACAATTGGACAAAAAGTGACAATATTTGATGAAATAATAAAATATAATAAACCCAGATATTCAGAAAGGGAAATGATTTATGAAGAAGAAAATAAACTGGGGTCAAAAAAAACATACTTTTAATGTAAATAAAGGTCAAACTGAAGGAATTCTTTCGAATTGTGTGTTATTCATATCTGCCATGGACACCTCACCCTCACATTTTCTCCTGTTGCTACATATGTATGCTCCCATGATGAAGACTATACTTGCAGACGTTTTGTGTCCATGCTTGCTTGTTCATCTCTGCGCTTCTTGAGAGCAGTGACTAGGCCTTAGTGCCTTCTGTTGTTCAGTCCTGAAAACACAGAAGGTTTGGGGGATAATTTATTACTATTTTAGATGGATCAATGGTTAGATGTGAGACTAAACTGCTATGGTGACTTTAGTGATAAATGTGAGACAGAGAGGCCTGTGTAGTGTTTAGAAAATAATAACAAGTATTTTAAAATATATCTCACAAAATATTTAAGACTTGATGAAGACAAACATCAAGTAGAGCATAAATCCCTGAAAACCTTGGAGGAAAGTGTAAAATTTATTTATCACAAAAATGTAGCTGGTTTCCCTAGTTTCTTATCATCAGATTTTATTGAATTTTATTATATTGAGTTTCATAAATGTCCTTTAAATATTAACCTCATGTTAAGTAAAGTATTTTTAGAAGTTTCAGTTTATTCTTTCTTTACTGATAGACAAAAAAGATTTCCAGCCAATTTATTAAAATAAATCCCAATAATAGCAGAGTAGCTATTGCAGAAGCATCAACTTCCATTTTGTTTCAGTTATGGGGATAACTGCTCATTAGCACGATTTTTATTGTGATAAAAATAAAAAAATAAGCAATAATATTCAAAACCCACTACATGCCAGGTCTTTAATGGGCTCACAGATACAGGAAGACTGAGGCTGGTGTTACGATCGAGGGCATTAGGACCAGGCTGACTTAGGTCATGCTGGTCAATGCAGCACCATTTAAACTATGCTCCAAAAGCTGTGCATGTATGTCCTGTGAAAAATTAAAATGCTATAAATATAAAAATGGATATGAATAAATAGCATTTGAGGAATAAGTATCTTCTAATCTGACGCTTCAATGTATGTGGACCAATTGCAACAATCTCTGCAGTGAAGACACGAATTGCATTTATCCACATAAACATAAAGGCTCGAGAGCTTCTATAGCTCTCAGCTGATGACACTAACAATCATTTGGATTTTCACCATTCGTCTATGCCAAGCCTAAAAACACAATATAATATTAATGCAGCATGAGAGCAAGGTTGACAAAATTAGTTATCTCTTTGGAAAAAAATCATTAAGATTTTTAAAATCGTGCCATGAATATGAACAAGAATTTGAACCCGGACTTGTCTGAAGGGGTGAGCAGGAGAACAGGAGATGTATGGACGAGGTCAGAGGCTCTGGCACATCACCAGCCCTCCTCACGCTGTGTCTTCCTTCTCTGTTACATCTGGAGTCAAGAAATGGTCTTAGTCACCAAATCCGTGTTTGAGCTACGGAATTTCATTGCCTCTCATGTCTTGATTTTTTTCATCTCTTTCCAACATCACAAATGTACTCTAAAGACACCTAATTGTCTTGGCCTTTCTCCATATTCTTTTGTCATAAAGAAATTCCCCTCTGAGTCCATTCAAATAGATTAAATGCCCTTATACTCTGAGAACCTCCCTGTAGGGTGAGAAAAGAGAGGAGGCTGAGGAGATAATGGACCAGCAAAGTAGACCCCAAAAGAGAAATTAAGAGAATTAGTAGTATTCAGATGAAAATTGAGAAGCACTGGTAAATGTAGGGATGTGATCCAGTTTCTGAATTAGAATATAAAAGTGTCCATGTGATGAGAGCAGCTTTGGTTTTAAGGAGCATTTTCTGAATTGTTCCATGGAAACTGGGACAAGCTACTCGACCAGGGGTGGGCAAACTTTTTGACTCGAGGGCCACAATGGGTTCTTAAACTGGACCAGAGGGCCGGAACAAAAGCATGGATGGAGTGTTTGTGTGAACTAATATAAATTCAAAGTAAACATCATCTCCATAGAAACTGGAACAAGCTACTAGACACAATCACGATCCCTGAAACTTGGCTTTAAACAAGTCAGCAGTATTAACTGGAAAGGTTAGGATGCATTTCTGCACATCTAAGATAGCCCAGGTGCTCTGCTAAGGTTGGTGAGAATGAAGCAAGTGTCAAGAAGAATGGCAGTGCTGTGCTTTGTCACTGTTAACTTGGCACATATATACCAATAATCTCAAATGGTGAAGAGGCTTCCAAAAGCAGGGACCTCTGCAGAGAACACACATGATCCCTGCTCCATAACATGAAACCCCTTGATGGAGCAGAATTCTAATGAGCTATGTGGGTTTAGGCCAGTCCTTTGCTGGGAATCAAACCAGCAACTTTGGCATAGGGGGATGACACTCCAACCAAATGAGCTACATGGTCAGGGCAAACATTTGTTGAAATCTTAAAATGTTAGGTATTGTGCTAAAAGCATGATGTTATGATTTTCTTTAATGCAACAGCCCTGTGGAAGAGGCAGTCTTGTATTTGCTCCCTTCCTGATTTTCAAATAAGGAAGCAGACTTAAAGAGTTTAAGCACCAACGCCTTCCAGTAAGGCCAGGTCTTGAATCCAAACCCCATTATCTCAACCACTGTGTTCTGTGTCTATGTAGCAGCTGATGAAATATGTCTGCAGTTAGAAAGCCTGGGCTGAGGCCTGGAGACATAAGGTTTAGTTTCTAGTAGTTGGCAAGTACATGCAGCATCATGTACCCCCAGCATCTTAAGGGTATACCCAGGAGGCTGGTAATTCATGAAGAGATTAAATGCTCTGCTCTGGGTCAAGCATCCAGCCAAAGTACTCAAGTCCATCAGCACACAAGTTAAAGGTGCTGGGACCTATAAACCGGGCTGCTTTCCAAACCTAGAAGCCACTGACCTAGAAGCTAAGCTACAGCCACCTTTCAACCATGATGGAGAGGACCTATGGTCACAAGAGCAAATGAGCTGGTGAATTATTAAGTTTGTGGATATTGGGTGCCTAACCACCATCCACTTTTTGTTATCTTTTCCTTTTCCTTTTTAACCTGGATAGCTACTGCTATTTAAATTGTAAAAACAAGATAAAAATATGCTATGTGCATGCTGCTGCCAGTACCCATTCCCAACTAAGCCCTAAGGAAAATCAGAATTGGGGATTATAAGACCCAATAATAAGCCATAGAACAGCGGTTCTCAACCTGTGGGTCACGATCCCTTTGGGGGTCAAACGACCCTTTCACAGGGGTTGCCTAAGACCATCAGAAAACACATATATAATCACATATTGTTTTTGTGATTAATCACTATGCTCTAATTATGTTCAATTTGTAACAATGAAATTGGGGGTCACCACAACATGAGGAACTGTATTAAAGGGTCGCAGCATTAGGAAGGTTGAGAACCACTGCCATAGAAGAAATCTCAAATTTCACTCACCCTAATATACTTAGTTTTCAGATGAGAAAACTGCAAACAATTGTGCAACTTGCTCATTTACCTCCAACTTGTGGCTTAAAATGTGTGTAGGTTTGGGGAAGATACTCAACTTGTATAGCCCCCCAGGTGCTTCCTCTGTAAAGGAGGACAATGCTAATTAAGCCCACTGCACAGCTGAATCAAGAAGTAGATGGCCCCTTGCCAGTTTGATTCAGTGAATAGAGTCAGCCTTGCAGAGTGAAGGGTCCCGGATTCAAATTGAACTGAAAAGTCCTAGGTTCAATTCTGGTCAAGGGCCCATGCTAGGGTTGCCAGCTTGATTCCCAGTAGGGGGAGTGCAGAAGGCAACCAATAAATGATTCTCTCTCATCATTGATGTTTCTCTCTCTCTCCTTCTCCCTTCCTCTCTGAAATTAA